ACAAGGCTATGCCTATTAATTCCATTGAAAAATCCTTTCATCCAATAGCTGGACTACTTAGTAGCCCACATGACATTTGGATACTTGAGGTTGTACAAGGAAGTTGAGTATAGATCTGTAATAGACAATTACTTCCCCATAGCTTGAAAGTGCCTTCATGAGTGTAGTAACATCATCCTCAGTATGAAGAACTGGGCTCACCCAAGTATTACTCATACTTTTCCCAGCCACTTTAATCCACATTTCGGAGGCAGTTAATGATCAATTCTAAAGTGTGCAAGTTCTGACAAAGGCAAAATAAATATTTGATGGTATTCCATTAATTTTTTACCTTCTTTCCATGGTGCGTGTGTCTTGGTTTTATATTGTTTATAATACTTCAATAGTCTTTTTAGGGTTCACTTTAATTCCCCATGCTCGTGTGTTGTTTAGCTATCAAGGTCAACTCGGTCAGACAGTATAAATACTGTACCTCAAACTCCAGTTCTTATAGACCAAATGGTATTTAATGGTGAAGCTTCTTTTGCCATTACATGGGCCTTTAAACTTCTTCTAACCAGGATGAAAATTATTTAAAAACCCCACGATTTCAGGAAAGTGGAACTGTTGCCATCAAATTACTTTTACTGGTGAATTTCAGATTTAATCATTTTGGTTTGCAAAATTACTGATAGTCGCGTGCTATGTCGAGGTGAAAGGGCATATTGAATGCCGTCTCCCAGGCATCAGTTCTAGGTCTGGTTCTGTTCAATATTGTCATCAGTGATTTAGATGATGGCATTGACTGTATACTTAAAGTTTGCAGATGATACCACTCTGGAGGGGGTGCCAGTGCTTTAGAAGAAATCATTAAAATTCAAAATGGTCAGGACAAACTGGAGAAATTGTATGAAATTAAATCAGAAGTGCAAAGTGTTCCACAATCAGTTGCATACATATGAAATGGGAAACAACGGCTTAAGGAGGAGTACTGTGGGAAAGGATTAGGGGGTTATAATAGATCGCAAGCTAAATGAGAGTAAACAACATAACACTCTTGGGGGGAAAAAAAACTAACAAAAACAAAATTCATGGTTCTGGGATGTATTGGCAGGTGTGGTGTAAGGAAGACAAAATAATTTTTCCAGAGTAGATGGCGCAGATTAGCTGAAGTACTATTTCCAGTTCTAGGCATCTGTCTCAGGAAAGATGTGGCTAAATTGGAGAAAGTCTAGTAAAGGGCAACAAAAATGATTAAATATCTAGAAATCATGACCTGATGAGGGAAGAGTGAAAAAAATTGGGCTTGTGTAGTCTGGAGAAAACTGAGAGGAGACATGGATGTTTTCAAGTACCTAAAAGGTAGTTAACAAGGAAGAGGGAGAAAATTTGTTCTCAGCCTCTGAGGACAGGACAAGAAACAACAGGCTTTACATTGCTTAAGGTTGGACATTAGGACTTCCTTTCATGATGGAATACATTCCGAGGGAGGGTGTAAAATCTCCATCCTTGTAGCTGTTAAGAACAGGTTAGACAAAAATTTGTCACAGATGGCCTAAAATAAATCATACTTACTCCTGCCATGAGGGCAGGGGACAGGACTCGATGACCTTGAGATCCCATCCAGTCCTACAATGCTGGGGTAAGTTTCTGTCATTGTCCTGTTGGGTGAGGGCAGAAGAGTCATCAATATATCCTAGATACAATGGACCTATAACCTGCTTTTTCCTACACAAGTGTGGCTGCAACTATCAAAGCATGTAATTAAATTCTCAAAATGCCAAACCAAATAAGAGTTGGACTTTCTCTGAAAAGGCAAAATCATGCTGAGAGTTGGGAGGAATCAAGTGTGCAAGTGGACTACTGATGAGTAACAATCAAATTGGTTTTACCAGTATTCAGCATGAAGAATTTCAAGTGCCAGAAATGCCCCTCTGCCATGTATACTGGCCAAACCGGACAGTATATGTGCCAAAGGATAAATGGACACATCAGAGAGCAAGAAAGGCAACACTGTAGGAGAACACTTTTACCTCCCTGGACATTCAGTAATGGATTTAAAAGCAGACATCCTTCTACAAACAAAATTCAAAGCCAATCAAATTAGAGCTGAATAATGATTTAAATTGGTTCTCACCCCACAAAGGCATTTTCCCCTCTTTTGATATTCACGCCTCCCCATCAATTGCTGTGAGTGAGCCAGATTGAATTAGCCTCATTAACGCTGGTCCTACACTTGACAAGTAATTTCCTTATTTGTGTATCTATAAAATATATAAAGTAAAACAAACACATACATCCCTGCTGCTGTAAGTCCCGATCCAATTTATCTGATGAAGTGGGTTTTACCCATGAAAATGCACATCCTAATAAATCTGTTTCTAAGGCCATGTCTACACTACAGATAAGATAGAAGCAGCTGACATCAATCTTCTGGGTTCAAATTAGTGGTTCTAGTGAAGATACGCTGATTTGAACTGAGGGTGCTCCCGTTGAAGCCAACAGTCCTGCTTCTACGAGAAGTAAGGGAAGTCAAAGGGACTCTCTTTGACTTCGCAGTGTGAACGGCATCAAAATTTGAGTTAAGATACTTCAACTTAAGCTACACAATTAACATAGTTAAAGTTGCATTTCTTAATTTGAACTTATCCGCTAGTGTAGACAAGGGGCAAGGTGCTACAGGACTCCTTGTTTTGGCAAATAGAGACTAACACGGCTGCTCCTCGGAGACTTTTCACTGCTAAAATATGTATTTGTGTCAGCTGGTGCTGGAGATAAAGCATAAGGCTAAAATATCAGTTTTATACTTTAGTGGATCAAGTAGGATCCATTTCTACTTTCCCTCCTTTTTTTGGGAGGGAGATGTGTGTGTGGGGGGGAGGGGGGGATGAGATATTATGTGAAACATTCCCCCCTCCTTGAAGAACATTTGAATTAATAGTTGTTTTTTAATTGTGATATTAATATCTTAGTAAACATGGTGTAGTTAACATACAGGACTAGGAGTTAGGACTCTAGCCATCTAGTCTCGGTTCTGCCAGACATGCCTCATAGTGTTTCATCACCACCCCACTCCCCCAGTCAAACAGAGACTCTCTATGGGGCTCTTGAAAGAATAACTTGCATTTTTGTATTAGCATAATGCTTTGAAATCAAAGTGGGAAGTCCTTGTAGGGGAGCCTGGATGGCCCTGCCTTGACAATAGTAAAATAATAATAATGTCTGGCTTGATCACAGTGCTGATCTCCAACAAGCAAAACCCAGGCCTCTCTCAAGTCTGGTGCACGTTAAGCACGCAGGCAAGGCTGAGGGAGGAAGCTTTGAGAGGCAGGATTGTTTTGCACAATCATGAAGATTAAGCATGGTACAGTGAGACAGTGTCAAGAACACACGACAATCAACCCTGTACTAGGTACTTCTATTTCCGATAAGAAAAAAAGTAAGATACAGTCATAAAAACTATTAACCACACCCACACTTTTTGCAGCATTCCGAGTAGCATGATGTACCTCCAAAATGGGCATAAGAGGTATCTTACACAATATCTAACGGATGGCAGATATTAGAATGACCAAGTCAAGTATAAATATAGGCGTAGAAAACAATCAGTGGACGGGATTGGGTAAGGGTCCCCACTACCTTACTCACTGCAATTAAGAAGTTGGTGCCTGTTCCTACTGGCAAATGCACTGTGCATGGGGAAAGAGGCCATGACTTTCCATCAGACAACTGTAAGTTGCTGATGGTGGAACTGTGTGTGATTTATAGAAATAAGTACATGTATGTTTATATCCTTAAAGTTAAATATCGTGTGTATTGTCCTCGGTGTAGTAGTAGGTGTATTGCCTGTGCTACCTATCCCATTTATTGGAATGGATTTGTGTAACTCTGCATTGTCTTTCTTTACTATTCTGTGTATAATAAAATTAGAGATATAGTTAATCCTTGGTGTTTACTGGCTCTTTTCATATCTAATATCCCAAACACACAACAGTCCTACAAAAACAAAGCATTCCTGAAGAGAAAGCTAGAAACAAGTTCAAATGACAATATATAAAAATATTCCTTGTGGTTGTGAGAAAAGAGCTCCTGAACAAGAACTCTTAGCTGCTGCCATGTAATAAATTCCACAGTCACAGACTGTATAGTGCATGTAAAAGAAATATGATGGTCATATTTTCAGTTCCCCCAAAATCAATATTGTTAGAAAAGGTAACAAGTCATGACCTGCCCCAAAAACAAGCTGCGAATTTCTAACACACAAGTACTTTAATTATTTATCCTAGTTTTCAAGACCACTTAAATAGGACATCTAAATTATATTTTTTACTTATATGCTAAATAGGAAAGAGAATGTTGTACATTGAATCAAACAGCAGAAAGAAACTGTCTAGAACATTAGAATTCAAATAGAAAGGGGAAATGCAACCTGATCATAGACTGAAGTGTTAGGCACTTAAAAAAATAATGTCAGATATCTGACCACTGCTGTTTTTACCAGATGTTCATTAACATGCAATGATATCCTTCCATAGGATGATGCCCTGACATTAACATGTCTTGTGTGGTTTTCCATGTCTCCATTCTACAACATAGGTCTTTCTTCACTTCCTTTATTTTTATAATTGGCGGTGAGCAGGAAGAAGGGAAGTTGTTTCTTCTACCCTCCAGCTGGGAAGGACCAAGTGATTCTAATAATTCCTGTCCATTTGCTCAGCACTCCCAGCAGCTCTCTCAAGTCAGGAACTACAGACACGCTTTTTCTGATAAATATCCAACAGGCTCTAAATCAGAGCTACACACTACACTGGTCACGATATATTTTTACCTAAGCCAATTTTTTTTATTACAATGACAGCACAATTAATCTTTACAGTCATGAAATTCTGACTGAAGCAATCTGACAGCAAGTAGTAACTAAAACCATAGTTTCCATGCAAATAGAGTAAAAACTATGGCAACCAGCAACAGTACAATTTCATTATCCCATTATAAAAGATACACATGTCAACTACAGTTGGTACATTTTTCTTATTTATTCAAAACTAGGGGATAACAAAGAGGGTTAAAATGTACGCCACCTTTTTTACATAAACAAATGCTTAACAATCTATCAAAGAGATTCATTTTACAAGTCTCTCTGTCCAAAAACACACACACAAATTAGAATTTTATACACAAATGTTTATTTCTCAAATAAACATCCCCTTTAAACACAAGGAATGAAATCTAAATCTTCATAAAGATGAATCCAAAATGAAATCCCTCCAGTACATTGTGTAATCACACTGTGTTCTTGGTCACTACTGGCTTTAACTGTTTAACATAAAAAAAGAACAGATTATTTTAAAATCATGCTAATGGATTCCTAGCTCCTCCTCTGACCAGCTATACTGATCTGCATCGTTTTAAAATTTTACATCACCAAATCTGAAGCAAGCTTAAGTGTGGAACAGCTGTGCATCAACCACAAACGACTGAACAGTAAGTTTATAAGATGTAGTCAAGTTCATAACGAATGTAGGTGTTCTTTTCATCATTATAGATTCTTGGATAATGTGCTATCAGGGCATCCTGTGAGCCAATATAGATAGAATTATAAATCTTCCAATACACATCTCTGACTTTCCTGGCAGGGTGAAACAAACCCTAGGAAAATAAAACAAATATTAAATTAAGCAACATGCATGACAGATTTGGTAATTGAGCTATTTAGAATAGTCAAAACAAAAAACAAAAACAAAAACTTTAAGCAATTACGTTTTAATCAAGTTCAGTTATTAAATAAATGCTAACTAAATGTTCAAGCTGAGGAAACAACACTCTATCGCTATTCTTCTTCAACTTTCTAATCAAGATAAAAATAACAATTTGTCATTACTTCCTATAGAAAGGCAATATTCAAATGCAGAAGTTCTGCATTATTTACGTCTTAGCTGTTCTTCAGGATGAATTCCACTGCATGAATTTCTGGCTGTTTCACTCTTTTTTAGAAAGGTGAAGAACCCATGCTCAGGTATACAGAGCATTGGATTTGACATCAGAAGACCCAACTTACAATAACTCCCCACTTAACATTTAGTTATGTTCCTGAAAAATGCAACTTTAAGTAAAATGATGTTAAATGAATCCAGTTCTCTCAAGAATGTATGTACATGGGGGAGTTAGGTTCCAAGCATATTATTTTTGCTAGAGAAAAGGCAGTATATACATCAACAGTATGGCTGCGTCTAGACTGGCAAGTTTTTCCGCAAAAGCAGTCGCTTTTGTGGAAAAACTTGCCGGCTGTCTACACTGGCCACTTGAATTTGCGCAAGAACACTGATGATCTAATGTAAGATTGTCAGTGTTCTTGCGCAAATACTATGCTGCTCCCGCTCGGGAAAAAGCCCTCTTGTGCAAATGCTTGTGCGCAAGAGGGCCAGTGTAGACAGCTAAAAACTATTTTGCGCAAAAAAGCCCTGATGGCGAAAATGGCGATCAGGGCTTTCTTGCGCAAAACCGCGTCTAGGGTGGCACAGACGCTTTTCCGCAAAAAGTGCTTTTGCGCAACAGCGTCCGTGCCAATCTAGACGCTCTTTTCCGCAAATGCTTTTAACGGAAACACTTTTCCATTAAAAAGCATTTGCAGAAAATCATGCCAGTCTAGACTTAGCCAAGTCTAGACAAGTTTTAAACAAGTAATTTAATTCACACATTAAACTTTTAAACAAACAATGCAATACAGTAGTAAGGGGAGGAAAATATTATTTGCTTCAGGGCTGTGCCCCTCCCTGTTGTGTGCATGCAGGGGCAGAGAGATACAGCCTGTTGGTGGGCATCTGAGGGATTGTGGGCATGTGAGGGAGCTGCCCCAGGTAGGCACTTGGCCCATGACAGCCATACAGCACCTGAATGGCCACACATTTGTTGCTGAACATCCCAGAGTGTTCAGTTGGAAGCGGTACAAGGAGGCTAGTATCAAGGTGCCCCACTCCTGCTGTAGCCACAGGCAGTTCATGGGGTGAGATACTCTTCATACAGCTGGCAAAGGAGCTGCTGTTTCCACAACTAACTTTGCATGGGCTGTTGCCCCTGTGTTTTTATCCCCCTCCAGAAAAGGGGGCAAGAAATGGAACTCTATATACAGAACTGCATTCAGAGTTGGCTTATAAAAGGGTTATAGCGTTTTGCCATTTTTACCTTTTCAACTTGAGGAGAGGGTGTCAGCTTACAAACAAACAAACAAACAGGCTAATGAACGAGTATACAGGTACTTTCAATATTTCTGGTAACAATATTGAGGGTGAAGAGAAACAAAACAAATTGTTCAGAACTCAATACAGTATTTCAAACATAGTTTGAATCAAATAATACTACCATTCTCCCACCTCTGGCATGTATGGCATCATTACAGTGCAAATGCCCAATCTAGTGTCCATTATCGTCTTCACATTCTTTTGAGATTTCTGCTTCTCAGGTGTTTTCTCTTGTTTGAGTATCTAGGTTTGAAAAGTTACTTTCCCCGCCACCCCACTGTAAGTAAGCATACCTGTAAACAATACTGCAGCATTCTACACGGTCCAATAGCAACTCTGAGGCCCTCCAGCGCTCCCATAACTGCCTGAATGACGTGAGGAGATGTTTCAAACACATTGGGCCATACGTAATTTAGCAAGTGATTCAGAGAATCCTCACAGCCAAATCCATATACTCCAAGAGACATATGCTGCACCACAGCACTGGCTGTTTGTCGGTGTACAAGGTCTCTGTAAAGAAAATATAACCTGTTATTTAACAAGTTTGCTTGCAAATAAACCTGTTAGCAATCAGTAATGCATTTGACACACAAAGAATGCCAAAAAGTTCTGATTCTAGTTTTTTGTTCTTCCTTGCCCACAGCATGGGGCAGAGAAATTACACTTCAAATTGGCTAATAAAAACGATCTAACAGTTTCACAGGAGAAATTGCTGTCATTTAACACTACTCAATAGCCTAGAAAAATAATGGATTAAAAAGTAGGGATGTCAGCATGTAGACAACTACACAATGAAGCAATAAGTCTGGGTTTAACTGGTTAATCCCATTGACAATATGATCCCCCGCCCCTTGCTGCCTTCTGAGGTAAAGGGGAGAGTGGGAGTCGGTGTCTGTGAGGAGCTGGCTTTTAAGTCGGCTCCCCACAAGCACCAGATCCTGTGGAATCGCCTACCTCCTCCCCCCCCTGTGCGGCTGCCTCTCATAGAGGCAGCAGTGTGGAGGGTGAGGAGGGTAGGCAAGAGCTGATACACACGGGGAGCTGGCTTTCAAGCTGGCTGCTTGCACATATCCCCCATACTGTTCCTCACAGATGCAGCGGGAGGTGGGGGGGGGGGCTCTGTTCACAGTGCGCCTGGACTTGCCACAGACAGAGGCTGCACCATGAATGTTGGTGCAGCCTCTGTCCGCAGGGAGCTCGGGCCCCCTGCAGACAGGCTGCTGCTGCCCCATGCTGCTACCTCTGTATCAGAGGCAGAAGCAGCATAGGGCAGCAAGTGGGAGCTGGTTTTTAACGGTTTCGCAGACCGACTCCCACCTGCCACCCCGCAGAGCTGCCTCTGATAGAAGCAGCAGCGTGAATTGGCAGGGGGCTCCCTCGAGGTCCCATCCTCAGGACTATCAAATAGTCGTGTAATATTTTTGATTATGCAATCATCTTCAGATACATTTTTCTGCTGTTAAGGAACCAGACATGCGATGGAAGCACGTTTAAATGTAATAAGGGGGATCTAAATGTTACTATAAGGTTGGACCTTCCGGTCTGGCACCCTTGAGACCTGAGTGGTCCCCGAAGGAGGGAATTTGCTGGACCACGGAAGGTCGGCCCCTCTGCTGACAGACTGGGCTCACCTGGGGTCTGTCAGCAGATTGCCAAATGCCCCTGCCTCAGGGCCACTAGGGCTCTCTGGTCCAGAAGCATTCTGGACCAGAGAGGTTCAACCTGGAGAAGTTATCCTAAGTAATTAAAAGCTACTGACCTGTCCATTAAAGCATCTTCAAGCAAGGGTGTAACAGCATAAATGTAATCTTTTCCCATCTCTCCAATGTATTCAAACAGAAAAGACAGGGATTTTAATACACCATTCTGGACATTCAGTTCTGGAACTCGGTATTCATTCATCAGAGCAGGCAGTACTGTGAAAGGTGAGCATGTTTCAGCTACAATAGCAATCGCTACTGTAGTACATACTCTGTTCTGTCTTTCCTGTACTTTCAGATTATTTAGCAGTGTAGCTAGCACATCATGGGGTCTGGAGGAGACAAAATGCAGGACTTTATCAGTGAAAAATACAAGTATGTAAGATACTTTTAGCATCACAGACCTGCCAGTCAGCAATAAGATTATCTCAGATTTGGAACTAGCAGAAGGCAGTGAATTGTGCCATAGCTAACCTAAGAACCTGAGTGACCTTTCCATGACACTTATACAGCCTTTACCACTTTAGAACTCAGTTGTTGCATCTTGCCTCAAACTAACCACTATACTCTTTAGAGTAAGAATTTTCTCTTACTATGATCCCTGATCTTTGCAAACATTTATGCTCTTGCATAAAATTACACACAAAGTGTTAGTCTGTGTCAAGACTATAAACTGGCAAAACAAATTAACAGCAAAAACAACTTTTTTGCTCAAGTTCTTTATTAGAGAAAATATGAATAGGTGAGGCTTGTGGACCCAAGAGCAAGATTGTATGTAAGGACTCAGGAAGCATTTGAATATACTATTTCCTTCAATGTTTTAATCATAAACACTTTTTCATATTTTGTATTGATTATAAAATTAGAAACATTATACTACAAGTACTGGTAAAAAAAATGGTTGTAACAACTTTATTTTTCTACCAACGTAAAATGTATTTTCATCGTGTCTGCCCTACAAAGCTCAGATATATCTACTCTCATTTCTAAAGAAACCCAATGTTATATTTTCAACAAAACCCACAATCATCATCAATCTAAGAAAGGACCTACACATGCTGCTCAGTATCCAGAGAAATACACTTACCCAATAGCTTTTGCAATATAACCAAAAGTGTTTACTGTGGCTCGTCTAATAGCTTTCTTGTGAGCTTTTAACAACTCCAGCAGTTCGAAACAGATCCTCATCCATTCCCTTGCAGAAACATATTCTGCTCCCCTGGATGAGAAAGGAAATACAGATATTTTAGTGAAGTCATATCTTCTTCAAGAAAAAGAAACAGACTATAAGATATACATCTGTGCTACTACCACAGAAACACAGCCTCACCCCGTCTTTTTAAACAGAGAAATGGAAAGCTACATGAAAAAGAGTACACGAACCACATACAGAATTAACATTCATTCTACAGTCTCTGTCAAATCTATGTAAGCTTGCAAATCAATGAAAGACTAACAGTAGCAAATAATATTTAAATAGTATATGAGACTGCAAATGCATACTTGGTTGGTATTATTTTATACTTATGTATTTCATTTCAATAATCATGAAAAAAATGTTAATATGAACCATGTTTGTAATAAAGCTTAAGGAACTCCAATAGCCCTAAAGGTTTATAAAATCGGATATCCAACTTATCAAACATTAAAATTAGGTAAAGGTTGTGACTTATGTAAGTAGTTAGCATGTCACGGTGTTGCAGAAGTATATAACAACTCACCTATCAGCAATACGCCCAACTAGGTCGATACAGTTTTCCTGTACTTTCTCATGCCTGTTTTTCAAGATAGGTGTAAGTCTTGGCAGCAGGTCTTTGATTGGCGGTGTCATCTTATGCATACCTGTTAAATAAAATTACACCTTGTTAAGTCTCAGATTTTCTGAAATGCACTCCCCCCAATTCCTTACTTGTCTGTGGCACAAACCCCCCCACGTACCTATAACATTCACAATGGCTTTAAGTGCTCCAAGTATACTGCCTAGTACTTCAGGGTATTCCTCACCCAGATACTCATACAGGACAACACCCAAGTGTCCCATCAGTTTTTCCTAGAACCAAGTAACAAGATTTAAAAGTTAGCAAAAATTTTCTCATTTAAAAAAAGACTTCCTATGAAACAGAAGAATGGGATAAATTAATACCTCTTGACAAGTTTTCATGACAACTGCAGTGCGAGAGATCAGGTCAGCAGCCTGTTGCCTAACTTTGGCTGATTTGTTGTTTAAGCGCCATAAAACTGTACCACAGATCTGGGGCAAGTATGGTTTAACTCGTTTGCCAAGAGCATTAACCACTGTGCCAAAACCATTCAACATCACAGAGTCCTGAAAAAACAACAAAAAGTCAAAAAGGCAGTATCAACTGCATCACAAATTATATGCAGTGTTGTTGTGGCCACACTGATCCAACTATTGTAAAGACACAAGTGGAAAAACCAAATATTTTATTGGACCAACTTGTGTTAGTGAGACAGAAGTTTGAGCTGAGGCAGAAAAGTAGCTCTATGTAAGCTCAAAAGGTATTACCTCACCCACCTGGTCTCCCTTCTATCAACTGCCCATTTATTATTGAACTCATTTCATACCTACAATCTTTATAATATATGCAACTTTAATATTCTAGAACTGCCTTACAAATGTCAGTGCTCTTTGTCCCACATAATTCTTGTCTGGATTTCAACCGTATATACCAGTTTTTCCAGAACATTATAAACAGACTAAACACATTAACAGTTAAAAGCATCTTCTAACAATACCTCTGTGGTCTGTTCCTGGAAGGCATACAGGATACCATCAATAAGCTGTTCTTCTAGTTTATGGTCAATGTCTGCTGCACCCAGGTTCCCCATGATTTTCTCAATTGTTTCCATAACCATTTTTCTGTACTGCTCAGCCTCATCTTTCAGATCATCCACAATCCTGGAAATAATTTCTGCTGCTCCAACTTTGTTTGCCAGCTCCACTGTAGTATCAACCAACTGAAACATAAAACTATAGCTTTGAGCAAAGTAATCAGATAATTTACAAAGACTTCCTAAAACCTCTAAGATGACCTGAGAAATCCTTTGCCGGGTACAAAAAAAACAGAGGATATTATTTGGTATCAACAACCAAATTACAGAAGAGTGTTCTCTGTAAGATGTGTGCTTGTGTGGCCACTCAAGAGAAATTCAAATGCCGCCCAGCTGATTAGTAAAGTACCCACAGCTATGTTTTACATTTCTATTGGTGGTGAATATTCACACATGCCTCAGTGCACATAAAATGTATTCCGCACATGCATCGAAAAAATACACAAAGCGGGAAAAGATTTGAGGGAGACATTTTTAAGGTTGTGGGTATGCAGAAAAATTTCCAGGGTCTCATGCTTATATCTATATCCTGAGAGTCATTATTGCAAATGAACTAATATATTTGGTTGTTCATCACCTTCAAGTTAAGGCATAGGGGAGTTTTCCTTGCATGGATAATTAAAAATGACAGAGCATGCTATTTTTAAACTCTTGTGAGAGGTAGACAGATAACAGAGGTGGATAAACACAACTGTTTTTTAAAAATGGGAGTTTGAGGTCTTGTGTAATTTGCAGTGATAGTGTGAATGGCCAGAGTTTGTTTCTTGTTAGGATGCTCTGAAAATAATTTAAAAACACATTGCTATGTTACTCTCTCTCATCTAGAAGGACAGATATTGGAATGGATGAAAAGTGGAACGTTTAAGTCCTTTCTGACACTGTCAAGTTAGGTGTTTATTTGAGCCAATAGTGGTAACACTTTAGTGATGAGGACACTTAACCACTAGATTCTGAAACCAACCAGTCATTTTATATAGCACAAATAAGTCATTAGATTGTAGTTACTTTAGACACTACCAACTGAGA